ATGTCATTGCATGACCCGAGCTCGACTCTGGAATGTTATATAAATATAGCCCTAGAGTTGAGTGGCTCTGAACTCACCGTCAGCCCTGCCGAGCCTGCGGTCCCCGTCAGCCCTGCCGAGCCTGCGCTCACCGCCAGCCCTGCCGAGCCTGCGCTCACCGTCAGCCCTGCCGAGCCTGCGCTCACCGTCAGCCCTGCCGAGCCTGCGCTCACCGCCAGCCCTGCCGAGTCTGCGCTCACCGTCAGCCGTGCCGAGCCTGCGCTCCCCGTCGTCAGCCCTGCCGAGCCTGCGCTCCCCGACAGCCCTGCCGAGCCTGCGCTCCCCGACAGCCCTGCCGAGCCTGCGCTCCCCGTCAGCCCTGCCGAGCCTGCGCTCCCCGTCAGCCCTGCCGAGCCTGCGCTCCCCGTCAGCCCTGGCGACCCTGCGCTCACCGTCAGCCTGGCGAGCCCGAGACCGTCGAGCCCGAGACCGTCCAGCCCGAGACCGTCGAGACCGTCCAGCCCGAGCCCGTCCCTGCTGTCCAGCGAGAGATGGTCCACGCCCCGTCTGCCCCTAATCTGGGGACTCAACCCAAATATTTTTTTGGGGGGGGCCCAGTGTCCCAGCCGCGGCCGCCCGAAGGGTCCTCACCGCCGTGGCCGCCCGAGGGGTCTTCACCGCCTTGGCCACCCGAGGGATCTTCACCGCCGTGGCCGCCCGAGGGGTCTTCACCGCCGTGGCCGCCCGAGGGGTCTTCACCACCGTGGCCGCCCGAGGGGTCTTCACCGCCGTGGCCGCCCGAGGGGTCTTCACCGCCGTGGCCGCCCGAGGGGTCTTCACCGCCTTGGCCACCCGAGGGATCCTCACTGCCATGGACGCCCGAGGGTCCGACAGCTTCACCCTGGACGCCTGAGGTTCCGACAGCTCCGCCCTGGCCTTCGCCTCATCCTACTCCGGCCACGTTCTGCGGCCCAGGTCCGCCTTTGCTACCTCCTGGTTCCGTTCCTCTTCTGCTCCACGGACCTGGCCCTCCATCCCGCCCCCAGATCCGCCTCCGCTCCACCTCCCACCTGGACAGTTTTGTTTTTTGAGCGTCTGGAATCCGCTCCTTAGGTGGGGGGCTATGTCACGATTCCTGTCTTGTGTTTTCCTTGTCTTGTGTGGACTTTAGTTATTTCCTGTTTCTGTGCCATGTTTTGTAGTCCTTTGTAGTCTTTCTTGTTTAATAAGTTTCCCCAGGTGTTTCTGATTTACCACGCCCCCTTGTTCCCTCGTTTAGCTTGTTTGTCTGTATATTTAAACCCCTGTGTTTCAGTTGTTGGGTGTCGGTCGATGTTTCACTGTAGCGTTGTTTTGAGTTCTTGTTTCTGAGTTGTGTTCTGAGTTCCTGTTTCGAAGTTTCTTTGTCTTCCGTGGATTTCCCTTTTTGTTTGTTTATTATTATTATTAAAACTGTTTTCTGCATTTGGATTCCTCCTTGCCTCCTCATCGTTACAGGTTTAATGCTTATCTTCACAACAGACGTCAATGTGTTGTTTTTCAAGGTTTTCAGTCAGATTATGTTATTGTTGAAAAAGGTGTTCCACAAGGTTCCTCTCTTGGACTACTACTTTTTTCTATTTTCATTAATGATTTACCTCAGATTTGTTTGAACTGCTCGGTGCATCTTTATGCTGATGACACTGTAATTTATACCTACAACTCTGACCTATCACAAATTCAGAACTCTTTACAACTTGACTTTATTTTGGTTCAAGAATGGTGCATGCCATAACAATATGCTTACACTAAATAAGAGGAAATCTTGCTGTATGATGTTTGGGTCGCGTCGCGTTCATTCGAACACTTCTGATTTGAATATTATCGGTGATGATGGCTTATCTCTTGAGAAAGTTAGTGCATTTAAATATCTCGGCCTCTGGATTGACACAGAACTCTCTTTCAAGCCCCATATAGATTATATTACTAAAAGATCTTATCATTGCCTGCGTTTACTTTATTGCTCAATTAATTGCTTTACATTTCAAGACAGGAAAAGAATTGTTTCTCAGCTAATATTTCCTTTTATTGATTATGCTGATATTGTTTACCAAAACACCTATGATAGTTATCTTAAGCCTCTTAATGTTGTGTTTAATTCTTTGTGCAGATTTGTGTTAAGGTGTCCATATCGTACTCATCATTGCCATATGTATGATTTGCTCAATTGGTTGCATCCTAAATCCAGAAGACAATTTCATTGGTTTTTGTTTATTTTTAAATGTGTTTACTTTGCTTGTCCTTCTTATTTGAATGAACTGCTAATTCCATATAGAACTCCTTATTCTCTTAGACATTCGCAACATCCTTTTTTCTTTGTTCCAAAAACTGTTCGTGTAGCTGGACGTAGGTCATTTCTGTATAAAGCCCCTTCTGACTGGAATAATCTTCCTGTTTCTTTGAGATCTATTACTTCTTTCAATCTTTTTAGGTTATGCCTATTCTCTTATCTTAAAATAACCTGTTTATGTTTTTGATTTTATTTATTTATTTATTTTTCCTTGGTTGAGATTCACTTAAGGATATTTTGCTGTTACGTGGCTCTATGTTGATGATCTATGATGATGAGATTCTGTAATGAAACTACTAACTACTAAAACTATGTTGGGTGTAGAAGCCCATAAGAGTGTGAGAAGCAGGTTGAGCTTTTTTTTTTTTTTTTGTAGTCTTGTTTTGTAATGTTGTTGTGTCTTATGTTGTCTGTGTTGTAAATTACTTATGGTTTTAGGACCCCCTTGAAAATGAGATGTTGCATCTCAAGGGGCTATCCCGTCAATAAATTCAAACATGAATTTGAATTTATTGCTTTAAAGTGTGTGTGCTTGCTGTAGCTAGCACATGCTTTAAAGTGTGTGTGCTTGCTGTAGCTTTTGCATAGCATGCTATACTAACAAATTTGTATCAATTTGTATCAATTTCCATCTAAGTTGAAATGCTTTAAAGTGTGTGTGCTTGTAATTTTATTTTTCCTGTGTTTCCATTTTTCTCTCTTACTGTTTTTACTTTCATTTATTCCATATATATATATATATATATATATATATATATATATATTGTCATATTCAGGTCTGTGTTCCCCTGTCTCCTCTCATGTTTTCAGTTCCCCATTAGTTTGATTAGTCTTCCCAGGTGTTTCTTGTTTACCACACCCCCTTGTTATCTTGTCTAGCTAGTTTTCCCCTGTATTTACACCCCTGTAGTTTAGTTGTTCCTGGTCAGTCGTTGAGGTTCCTGTCTTGCTGTTCCGTGTTCCTGCTCTTAGTTTCTGGTTAAGTTACATGTTTGTATTTTATTAAATAAGTTCTGCACATGGATTCTCTCTGCACTTCATTCCTTGCCCAACGTGACAGAACGACTGACCACATATGAATCCAGCAGGCCGCTATGCCTGATTGGTCTGAGTACCTGCGCATCCTGTCGGATGTGCGGGCTCAACTAGATCTTTGCACCCTGCCAGATATTCGTGCTATGCGAGATATCAACATCAGCCCCGCCGAGACCGCGCTCACCGTCAGCACCGTCGAGCCTGAATCCTCCTCACCGCTGGTTCCGTCCAGCCCTTCAGAATCTGAACTCCCCTCACCGCTGGTTCCGTCCAGCCCACCCGAGCATGAACTCTCCTCACCGCTGGTTCCGTCCAGCCCACCCGAGCATGAACTCTCCTCACCGCTGGTTCCGTCCAGCCCTCCAGAGCCTGAACTCCCCTCATCGCTGGTTCCGTCCAGCCCTCCCGAGCATGAACTCTCTTCACCGCTGGGTCCATCCAGCCTTCCCGAATCTGAAATCCCCTCACCGCTGGTTCCGACCAGTCCCGTCCAGCCAGCACCGGTGACCGTCCAGCCAGCGCCCGTGACCGTCCAGCCAGAGCCCGTGACCGTCCAGTCAGAGCCCGTGACCGTCCAGCCAGAGCCCGAGACCGTCCAGCCCGAGACCGTCCAGCCAGAGCCAGTGACCGTCCAGCCAGAGCCCGAGACCGTCCAGCCCGAGACCGTCCAGCCAGAGCCAGTGACCGTCCAGCCCGAGACCGTCCAGCCAGAGCCAGTGACCGTCCAGCCCGAGACCGTCCAGCCAGAGCCAGTGACCGTCCAGCCCGAGACCGTCCAGCCCGAGACCGTCCACTCCCCGTCTGCTTCTAATCCGGGGACTCAGCCCAAATATTTTTTTGGGGGGGGGCCCAGTGTACCAGCCACGGCCGCCCGAAGGGCCCTCACCGCCGTGGCCGCCCGAGGGGTCTTCACCGCCGTGGCCGCCCGAGGGGTCTTCACCGTCTTGGCCGCCTGCACGGCCTGATCCGCCCTCGTCGCCCATGCTCCACGGCCCAGGCCCGCCTTGCTATATCCCGGTATTGGTTCCCAGTGCGGGTCTGGCCCTCCGCCCCCCCCCCCCCCCCCCCCTTCTTGAGAATTGATAATGAATCTCCAGCCAGGCAGCCTGGTGCACGAGCTGACTTGGTGAAGTGCGGTTGATTCTATTAAGGTATTCTGAAAATCAACAGCAACCCATCTCTGCGTAGGATGTATATTCTTAATTAATTAGAATTTGTTGTGTTTAATTAACACTGGAGCAGATGCGTATACTATGTAACCCCCTTTTTGGGAGATTTATTACGTATGGACCTGGTTCAAACAGTATTCTCATAGATTAAGTATTCCATACTTTTTCCGCAAATTTAACCAGTAGTTCTTTACAGTAGCTACTTATTGGCTCTTAAGGGGCAATCACTGTTATGTTTTTGTTTATGACTGGTCAAGTTAATGCATTATAGGCTGTGCTTGAAGACTGAAAATATGCTAAAATACAGAGAATCAGATTGGTGCCAAACATTTTAACAGCACTGTATTCACAATAGAATGATATCTGATAATGCCTATCTATGTTTGTATTTAATGTTTTGATATTGGGAATGTGTATGAGTTCTTTTTAATAAGCTGAGAGATCACAGAATCACAGTGTGAATTTATCCCAATTCTCCTGTTGTTTAGGTGATGAAGTGGTTCTGGGCTGTGGTGTCATCCTTCACACAGGAAGAACTGGCACGTTTGTTACAGTTCACCACTGGCTCCTCGCAACTCCCACCTGGCGGCTTCAACACTCTCTGCCCCTCCTTCCAGATCATAGCAGCTCCCACACACAGCACGCTGCCCACTGCACACACCTGGTGAGCACACACACACCAAACATTCCCTCACTTCAAAAGAGGGACCAAAATCTAATTCCCAGAATTAAATGTGAAATTAATGGACCCTAGAAAGGAACATTCAGCCTTCAGATTTTTCCGTCACTCCTAAAAGCATTCAATCAATGAAAGAAAATTGACGGTTAATGCTACCCCTAGATGGAACAGGTTTACTGAGAGCCAGTGTCCTGCAGTTTAATTCCGATCCTAATCAAATACACCTGAACAAATGAATCAAGGTCTTTAGTATTATATTAAAATGACAGGTAAAGAAGTTTGATCAGGGTTGGAGCTAAATTCACCAAAGCAGAACCAAAACTATCAGTTTTATAACCGTATTTAATATTGTTAAATATAATTATAAATTTCTTGCAACATGAATATAGTTTTGTAAGAAGTATCTATTGAAAAAAATCTGTTTAAATTAGGATTGCATGTTTAACTCTTGTTTAACTCTTCTGTTCAGTTTTAACCAGCTGTGCCTCCCAACGTATGACTCCTACGAGGAGCTCCACAAGCTGCTGAAGCTGGCTATCAGCGAGGGGAGCGAGGGCTTTGGAATGCTTTGAACATCAGTCTAGCTCTGGCAGAAACAGAGAAATCTCCAAACCTCTTTTTATAAACATCTCACCCCAGTGCACTTTACAGTGTACTGTAAATGACGGACTTTGATCACAAGATGCCTCTGGCAGGATTCAGGAGTTATGTACATATGTATCAAAATATTGTTCTACAAGATGAAAATAAGAAGCAAATTTGAGTTTGTTTGTTTCTTTGTTTTTTTTTGTTTGTTACAATAGTTGCCTATCTTTCCATATGTGAGTGCAGACATAATTAAATGGCCGAAGTGTCAAGATGCTTGTTTTGCATTTGGCATAAATATAACTTTTTTTATGGAACGTAGTTGACTGTGGGATATTGGGAATGACTGGAAAACCTCTGCACTTGGGCCTTAACTGATCAGGGAAGGTTATGTATAACTTTTGTTTCATTTTATGCTTTATTTATACAGTGTATGCATTTCCCCTGCAACTGTTCATTTGATATTTATAAAAAAGGGATCTTAGACACGTTGTCGCATACCACATAAACATCTTTTTTTAACAAGTGAAATTGGTTTAATGGGCATTTCATAAATCATAAAATTGTTTTTCTCAGAAATGTCGATAGTGTTTCAGTTGCTACTGTTTTGGCAACTGTTTCTGGAAACAGTTAAATGTTTGATGTTTTTTCAGATGTCAGACAGCTGACTTGCACATTTGTCAGATGTGGTCTTTGCTCTTTCTTGAGCTCCTTTTTATTTTGAACATTTATCATTAATGATCATATATAGGAAACTAGTTATGATCAAATTAAGGTAAGATGTACATTTAAAATATTATTACAAAAACTATTTCTTTTCTACTGTTATTCTGAAATATTTGAGTAACATCTATGCATCATACCAACAAGTCCACAAACAACAAACGCTGGCTTTGCTTGTTTTTATAAATAACTGATGCTCTTTTTATCATTTAGTTCAGTTAATGGCACTCCACTACAAAATTAAAGTTCATTATATGGGAAAAATCATAATGCACAAAGGCTGACTGTTGAACATTAGTGACCTTTTTTCTACTGTATAGAGCTTGTAGCAATATTCTACTTGGTCACATGCTAATCTGGAGTGTCCTTTTGTGACCACTACAAATCATTTGCAGGGATAAAAGAAATGCTAAAACATAACTACCCTGATGTTACACTGTGCTCTTGCCTTTGTCCTCTCTCTCTCTCTCTCTCTCTCTCTCTCTCTCTCTCTCTCTCTCTCTCTCTCTCTCTCTCTCAATTCAATTCAATTCAATTCAAAATTGCTTTATTGGCATGACTGTACATCATACAATATTGCCAAATATCTCTCTCTCTCTCTCTCTCTCTCTCTCTCGCTCTCTCTCTCTCTCTCTCTTTGACACACATTTTCTTTTTCCATGAAGTTAGACTAGAGTTAACATTAACATTTCTGTGCATTTTATGCAACACAATAAAAAATCTGAAATGTATTCATTCATTCATTGTAAATGTCATAAAAAATGTTCGGTGATACACAATCTAAAGCATAATATTATGGATCAGCTTTAGTAAAAGCTAAAATTCCGAATTTAGTACAACATTAAGAAAGCATATATCAGTAGCTAGAAAAAAAGGTTGTGCAAGAAATAAAGTGTAATAAAGTGCCACATACATTATGAATCATTGCATTGATGTCTTTTAGCTCTATATTTAGACTTGTTACTTTGACTAAAATATTCAATTGAATGAGTCTTTTATCAGTACAGTAGTTTTCCCTGTTAGTAAATATTGTGTTATGCATATTTATTCATGAAATCTGAAATTGAGTTCATTATTATAGTACAAAGTATTAAGCATATTTTGGATAATAATTAAATCTTGCAAAAAAAACTTTTACATTCATGTGCTCAAACAATTATTTATGAATGGAAAATAAGTGCATTGTGTAAAACTTTAATTTAACATTTAATTCAACAATGTATAAAAAAAATAACAATGCCTATGCAAACTAACATGCTTGTAAGAAGCCAGATAAATTGCTCTCAAATTATTATTCTACTTCTAAAAAAAATTAAGTATGTTGGTCAATCATATAAAATAAAGTATAAAATATAATATAAAAATAAAATACTTGCTTTAGAAAAATAAAATTGTCTGTTAAAGCCATGAAACATTTGCTGCGTCCTAATTTAGAGGCTGCATCCTTTGAAGGTTGTTTTACTTTTCCCGGGAAATGAAGGATACAACAGATGGATTCTTCGCGACCAGTGTTGCCAGATTGTGTCCACGATTTCCAGCCCCAAAAGCTCTCAAAAACCAACCCAGATCATTCACTACCGAAAGAATGTTATAGAATTATATTGTCATGACAACTAAGGTTTATAAGTACCATTTACCTCATCAAAACTAAATATTGAAATTATTAAAATGAATCTATTCTCCTGTGTATTGAGTCATAATTGTTTGTTACATTTAACAGAGCAGAAAAAGGACTCAGTTACCAGGGCTACCATCAGATAACACTGTTGTGAAAAATGTGGTCATATGGAAAAGCAAAGGCCTAGGAATAGGAAAGACACATAAAGCCCAAAAAACAGACTTTTTTGCATTAATGAATAGACGAACTGTTCTATAAATGAACATGCTTATCACCAAAACGTGTGTTATTACTGTCCTGTATGTCTGTCTAGTATTGGATACCTTTTTATGAGTAAACCCACCTATATCGTGTCTCCTATCAAATGAATGTACATGTAACGACTCACATTTGAGTTTACATCACCTCCTCATAGAATGCAGTGTTTGTTATATTAATCAGAGAGTATAAATGGACACCTACTGCCAGACCCTTTCTACATATGTTCCAGACAAAAGGCCATAAAACCTCCCAACAGAGGATATTGCACAACCATGACCTAACCACAATCTCTAACCCCACAATCTCACCGCAGAAATATAACCTTTTGGAAATATAAGCTGTAGATCAACACCTGCCAGCATTTTCTAGCAGCTTCAGTTGTCCTGGGCGAGAATTGGTTTTAACACCTTTTCTTGGTGGTTGCCTCTCCTGGGCAGAGGAATATTTTCTTTTAATGTTTTGCTACAACAGGTGGCAACTTATTGGTCATGTTACGCTTGTCTTAGAGCCTCCTTAAATCCTGTTAAAATTATCCTAATAATTATAACAAGTAATTGATTAATTATTAATATTTCTCTTTTGAGCTAATTTTGCAACACTTGCCAGGAGCACAATACAACAGGAAAGAGGATTGAAACGTGGCAAATACAGTAAAGAAAATTAGCAAATGACAAAAATGTTTCTAGAAACTAAAGTAGGCCTATGTCATATATTAAATTTAAATCGAGTTACTAATGGCCATTAATATTAGGCTAGCCTTCAATCCACAAATCAGCAACATCCACCATAGATTTAGGCTAATGTAGTGAGTTAACTCTAACCATAATAATGTAACAGAAATAGTCAAACGCTTACAAGTTGCCTATACACATCTTTTTCTAGCACTTCAAAACTATAAATTCATACATAAATGCTTTTTTTAAATGTATTTTTTATGTGATGACCAACACATTTTTTGTTCATCCTTCAAAGATTGTCCTAAAACAAAACATTTTAAGATGTTGGATGACTCTTATTTAAACACTTATTTAAAAAAAAAAAAAAAAAAAAACAAACAAACATTGCAAACAGTAGGATGTTAATTGTCTATGTTAACATTTTTTCACTCCTTTTGTTTTTTAATTAATATTAAGACATTATGAATGACAATAACTAAAGTTAATTTCATCTACACCCTAAATTAAGCTTAGTGATTTATTGTCAGCCCCAGTGCTACCAGATTCTTTTTTTATTATTATTATTTTTATTTTTGTAGAACTCGGTGTGAGTTCTCATTTGAGGTGTGCTGCCCTCAAATTTGAGTCTGGAGCCCTGTGAACTTAAAATAAAACTCCATATCGTAATATCTGTACGTTATGTCTCTTTATTATTAAAGAATTTGTCAGATTACAGTTATTTTGGGGTAAATTTGAATAATTGCATTGCGAGCTGACTTAAGGTGTGCCCCTATATTTTCTGCTTGTGTTCCTAAAATTTTCAGTCAAGGGCAACAGCGCTCCTATAAAAAAAGTTAGTCTGGAGCCCTGTGTTATCTCTATAAAGCTGCTTTGAAACAATCTGTATTGTAAAAAAAAAAAAAAAAAAACGCTATATAATTAAATGCGACTTGACTTGGGTCAACTTTTTATTATTATTATTTCTAGATTTACTCCTTCTAATTCTTGAACACACATGAATGTGAGAAAATAGGGCCAACACTGCTGCAAACTTTCTATTAAAGGAGGTATACTATATGTGAACTTGTATTCTTTGTCATACATTAACCCTTAAGAATTAAAATATTAGTCAGGAAAAGATAAATGAATAGCCAGACACCAGCATCTTCTAATCCTTATTACAATGAGCTCCAGTACTGCAGTCTCATACTGACCGCAAAACAGTAATGATAACGTCTTTTAAGTTTGTTACTTTGTCCTGTTCATACTGTCCATTCGAAATCAACTCCATATGGCAACTGAAAAGGACAGGTCACCTGACGAGCTGAAACTGAAGACTGAAGTAGGGCTGCTGAGTGGAGTGTCTCTCATTGCAGGGGTCATGGTTGGTTCTGGAATCTTCATGTCTCCTCAGTATGTGCTGCTTTATATTGGGAGTCCAGGTGCTAGTCTGTTAATATGGGCTGCTAGTGGATTGCTGGCCATGCTAGCTTCTTTGAGCTACGCTGAATTAGGAACTGTTATTCGTGAGTCTGGAGGAGAGTATATTTACATCTTGCGCACTTCAGGCAATATCATGGCCTTTATATGTGCTTTCACCAATAACATTGTGATGAGACCAACTAGCATGATTGCAGTGGCACTCACCTTTGCCCAAAATACCCTTGCGCCTTTCTATGATGATTGCCTACCACCAAATGGAGCAGTGAAATGTTTGGCAGCCCTAGCAATTATGGTATTGACAGTTTTGAACTGCTTGAATGTGCGCTCCTCCATCAGAGTCACGGTGTTATTCATGGCTATGAAGGTGCTGGCACTTATAATAATTGTGATTGGGGGAGTTGTCCTACTTATTCAAGGGGACACCGCCAACAGCCTCCAAAATTCTTTCGATGGGACAAAGCTGAGCATCAGACCCATGGGAATAGCATTTTACCAGTGTTTGTGGTCCTATGATGGCTGGAACACTTTAAACCATGTTACTGAAGAGATCAATCATCCTGAGGTAATTATGTCTTATTTTGAGGTAATTATGAGGTAATTATTAATGCAACTTATTTTTTTATTTTTTTATGGAGACGGGTTCTAATGATGCGTTTACACTGCTGTGGATAAAGAGGGAGCAGAGCAGGCAGTTTCATTCTATTCCTTGAGCTCCATGCTTGAGCTGTTAATTGAGGGATTTGATTCATTCAGTGTCTACCTTTTTTCACATTGGTGAAACAGACTGTCTCTGAACAGACAAATTGCACTTGGACCTAATTGCACTTGGACCTAATTCGTGTTGGTGTGAACAGGCCTTAGTCATGTATATCAAGAGCAGGCTGCATTTATATGCAAAAAGAGATGTGGGAATAATGTGAACAAAAAAGTTAAACCCATAAAAACCTTCTCATACTGTATAGGTCTTTCAATGTGGCAAGGTTCCTCTTTCCTAGATTAGAGCTTTGTACACTCTCAAGATTTTCTCAACCAACTTTATGAGCTGATACATTCTGTCTTCAAAATATCGGACAAATTAAAGGACAACTCTGGTGAACCTTTGGTCTAATAACACATCTCTAAAAACTGTTTTGCTTATAACATTAGTATATAGGGGATAGAGTAATGAAAAATAAAAATCGCTATTTAATTCCACTAGCAAGGCTCAAAATAGCCCCACACTAACACAGTAACATAATGAGGTTCCTTGCATGCAAACCGAAGCATTGAGAACGCTGTAGGCGTACAGTCAGTTTAATAAGAAGATATTATTTTATAAAGACAGTCTACTTTGCATACAGGCCATCTTTGAAAAACAGTCTCGACCAGTCGAACCACAAACGCCGTACCAAGTGAGCTGAACTGTGTAATCTCAAATGGTCGATTGGTCAATTATTTCTGATATATAGAGCAACTGTTGCGTGATTTTAGTTTGCATGAATGACAGAAAAACCTCTTGCCCTCCCTTTCCCCAGACAGTGCAGACTACAGATATAATTCATGCATTTCCATGTAATTAGATTTCACAAACGTAATTCCGATCGACCAGCTCACTTGTCATGGTGTTCGTGGTTCGACTAGTTGAGACTCTTTTCCAAAGATGGCTCCTGCCTGTATACGCGAAGTGGGCTGTCTTTATAAAATATCTTTTTATTAAACGGTCTGTACACCAACAGTTCTCAATGCTTCAGTTTGCATGTAGGGACCCTCATTATGTTACTGTGTTAGTGTGGGGCTATTTTGAGCATTGGTAATAACGATTTTTATTTTTATAGCGATTAATAGCGTTTTGTAATATAATGTAATAGAGATTTTTATTTTTCATTACTCATTAGTTTACTACATTTAATAAGTTTTTAGAGATAAAATCTTTACATTCGATTATCGTGTAAACAAATCTCAGAGAATGATTGACTTGTATCATTGACGAGACCTTGTGACGAGACCTTGTGTTTTCCTCCCATTTCACTGCCCATCTCACGTTTTTGTGAGCAAAAACGTGTTCTGTATGAACGTGCCCTTTGTATTGTTTAGGGTGTCTAGTAATGTTTAGGGTGTTTGGTATTGTTTTAGGATGTCACAGCTTCTAGACGTTCAACGTAAAAGCTTCTCGCGCGTTCATGATTATTTAGCTCCGCCCACACGCCCTGCCTCCACCCGCTCAGCTTTTTCTCCAGTTACTGCAATATTACTAGGTACTCAAAATTAACATGAGATTGACTGAAACTGAGTGTTTCACCCCTCCTTTAAAGGTCCCGTTCTGCATGCTTTTTTGAAGCTTTGATTGTGTTTACAGTGTGTAATATAACATGTGTTCATGTTTCTTGAGTAAAAAAACAGTATTTTTCACACAATTTACTTATCTGTATACGGCTGTTTTCACTGTCCAAAAACCGATGACTTCCTTGTTTTATGAAGTCCCTCTTCAGAAAAACGTAACAAGTTCTGATTGTGCCAGCAGTTCCTGTGTTGTGATTCGACAGCAGCTTACTGCACGTTGCCCAGAAAGGTCACGCCTCTTACCATGAATTGGAGATGCATGTGCATCTGAAGTGCTTCTTCTCCATGGGAGCACAACAAGACCACGCCCCCTTTTTTGTGTAGAGCATCACAGTCCTGCCCATTAAAGCCATTAAAACGTAACCATGAATAGTAGACTTAAAACCAGCTACGGCTGTACTAAGTGATTGTATATACTGATATAAATGGCAAAATATAAAAATGTATAAAAAAAATACAAAAATGAACAATGAACAATCCCACAGTGATGCATCTGATTGGTGGAAGTCATGTAACGTGTCTGAAACCCCGCGAAGGTACGTGACAGATTGAAGATCGCGTAATGACGTAGGGCTAAGTTCATTGGTCGCACCTCTGAGACCCCTCTGCAGCATTGGATGTGCAGTTGCCGCAGCACAGCCTATGAGCAAGCCAGATGCTCAATGTTACATAGAAGCTTCAGTAAATCGAGGAAAAGGAGTTTCCCTGCACATTCACCATATAAAATTCATGGGAGGAAAAAGTTCACGTGGCCGTCGTCAGATTTGGAAGTCACTCAAAAGGCTTTTTCACTGTGGCTTCAGTCGACTTCAGTGAGGCGCGGTGGTTTATGGGATGAATAGTTCCTTTGAAAATGAAAATATGTACACAGGCTTGTACCTTTTGACATTTTTTGGATTTTCTCTTTGTTTTTTCACTCAAAATGATATGTTGTATGAGTTCAGCCGTAGCTGGTTATCCTCAGACATGCTCTAATACTCTTTAGATATGGATTTTACAAAATGTCAATGGGAGAAATTAATAGGAAATTTACTTCCGGCACCAACGCTCTCTCGGGCTGTGGGCGGGACTGTGATGCTCTATTCCTCTGGGCGGAGATTAGTCAAAAAACTATTCTAGTTACATCATTAAAAAAGGAAGTAGAGGGATGTAGTCCAAACAGGCCTTTCGCTGTGTGCTTTGAAAGGGGACTTTCTGTTAAATAAAATATTACGCTAAGCATTGAACTTTAAGCTTCATAATTTTACAGGTATTATTTATGCTCTAACAGCTATGTAATCGAAATGGATGGACATTTTATATGCAATTCAAATACATAAATCTTGTGTTTAGACATAATTTTAAAAAATTGGGGTGCGATTAGGTGGTTGTGTTCGGAAAGTATTACAAGATGTACATTATACACATAATATAGTGGAAGAAAGCATAATAAGCCATGCACCTCTTGTACTCACTTTTATTGTGATATAATTTGCCTCACAGCAATGCAATTTTATTTCAGTCATTGGTCCCACTTCATATTAGGTGTCAAACTACTATGTTATGACACAACTACTACCTATGCCAAAAAAATAAAAAAATAAGAAAAAAGGAAAGAAAAAATACTTCAATGCATTTATTGTGATCATGTTGTATTGCAAAATACTTTTTGTCATTTATGTCATTAATTACTCACCCCTGCATCGTTCCACATGCATAAGACCTTCATTTATCTTTGGAACACAAATTAAAATATTTTTAATGAAATACGAGAGCTTTCTTTCCCTCCATAGAGTCCAATGCAACTTATATCCCAGAACGGTAGTGTAATGAACCACAGGGAACAGAGGAATCCATTTGCAGCTTTTATTAAACAAGTCGTACAGGCAGGGTCGAGACGAGGCAGACAGAGCAATGCAGACAGGCAGGCAGCAATAATCGTAATCAGGAGACAGTCCGAGTTCAGGCCAGGCAGATATCAATCGTAGAATAGTCAAACATTCCAAAGTCCAAAACCAGAAAACCAGAATCAGGGAATAAACGCTCAGAAATGATCACCGGGGCAAATCAAGACTTCGCACTGGTGTGATGTGTGAAGGTGTCTTTTATGGGTGTGTGTAAATGCAGTGCAAGTGTGAGGCGCAATCAATCCAGGTGTGAGGCATGATGGGAATTTAAGTTCAAGGCCAATAGTTAATATTCCGGGGAAGGCTCCCTCTGGTGGCGGAGAGGAGGCGGAGCGGGAGCCTCCACTGTAACAGAGCCCCCCCCAACCCCCTCCCCCCTGACCCCGGACCGTACCCCTCCCAATCGACCAGATATTGGAGAGTGTTACCCCGACGTCTGGAGTCCAGCAACTTGTGCACCTTGTACGCCTCCTCGCCGTCAACCAGAAAGGCTGGAGGGCTCTGGGAGGTGGCCCCCTCCTCCGCTTCTCCCCTCGGACCACCAGCGGGTTTCAACAGAGAAACATGAAAAGTGGGAGAAATACGGTAATTAGCGGGCAGGTCTAAACGGAATGATACTGGTGAGATTTGTCTTATAATTTGGAAGGGACCAACATACCTGGGACTGAGCTTGCGACATGGAAGTCTGAGTCGTAGATCTCTGGTTGATAGCCATACCCATTGAGCGATCTGGTATTCTGGAGCAGGGCGACGGTGACGATTGGCTTGATGTTCCTGACGTCGTATGGCGTGCCTTAGGTGTGTGTGTGCCTGATCCCAGACTTCCTCGCTCTTCTGTAGCCAATCCGTGACGGATGGAAGTTCTGTGGGTTCACCGGACCATGGGAAGAGTGGGGGTTGGAAACCGAGAATGCATTTAAAGGGTGTGATGCCAGTTGCTGGTTTGATCAGAGAATTTTGTGCATATTCGGCCCAGAACAAGTATCTGCTCCAATCCTCCTGATGTTGTTGACAGTAAGTTCGTAGGAAGCGGATCACATCCTGGTTGAGACGTTCAGTTTGTCCGTTAGATTGCGGATGGTACCCGGAGGTGAGACTGATGTTGACGTTTAGACTCTTGAAAAAGGCAGTCCACACTCTGGACGTGAACTGAGGACCCCTCTCTGACACGATGTCTTCCAGTAATCCATAGAAACGAAATACTTGGTTACACAGGAGTTCGGCGGTTTCGAAGGCAGTGGGGAGCTTGGTGAGGGGAACAAGTCGACAGGCTTTTGAGAATCAATCCACGATGGTGAAGATGGTGGTGTAACCTTGTGAATTGGGGAGATCAGTGATGAAGTCAATGGCGATGTGT